GGGAGGGGGCCATGGTTTGACTTCCAACAGGGAAATAAATGATGGAATACAACAAAGCCCCATTCTATGATCTAGTTTACACTCTGCCCGAAAGGTTTAAATGTATTGTAACCAGTGCAAGTTGCAAGGATTGATGATATCTTTCTTTTGTGTCTGAAATGGTGCAGTGGAGAAAAATCCATTTCTCAGGCCCTGTCCTGGTCACTGGCGTGCTTCAAAGGAGAGCCCCAACAGTACTTGCTATTAAGAGGGTAGAAGTTAATGAGAATCCAGGCTCTCAGTCCCAAGGAGAAGTCCACAGACACCCCTACTTAACAAGTGTCAGCGTGAGCCTTTTTCTGCCTCCATAGCCCTAACCTCGCAGCTCCGTCACCAGAGCCTGGTAATTCCAGGTCTTGGAAGGTTCTTCCCCCAACCCCCAGTGATGTGGAATTCAAGCCCCACAGCAATTTCCCCCAGCACTGCAGAACAGCGCACAAGCCTCTTCAGTCCCACTCGGCAAGCACGCAGTTCACCAAGGTACTAATTGGGATCCACCTACACTGCCGCATCCAGTCCAAGGATGTTTCTCACATAGGAAAGCCTCTTAAAATAATATGTATTAGTTAATCCGCGGAGGACTTCAAGCATGGCCATTTACATGTTGGTCCAGTTGCCCCCTGAGAGTAAGTGAGGGTCCTATTAGCAGGCACAAGAGACTTACCAAGTTCTTTTGAAAGCTAATTTTGGATATTGTTTGTTGCAAACACAAACAAACACTTGTACTGACTAGCACAGGCACTTGTTTTTTAGGTGTTGGTAGCAAACTGTGTTTGGAGCTGACAGATACCACTATGCTTGGTAAAATAAACTTGCCCTGGATAACATATATTCAACGCTCTCAAAGTGTGCCATAAAAACACACAAAGAGCAGGCTTTATCAAATAAATGCACAAGCCTGTCTCCCTGGAAACTAGTTCGAGCACAAAGACTGCTTGTCTATGAAGGACTCACAAAGACAGAATAAAAACTGTTCTGCTTGTTTTTGTCCAAAATCTTCAGGGAGTTGGAAATATGATTTGTAGCTGAAAATGGAATATTTCTCTAAACCATAAACTTCTCTTGAATTGGCTATAATATAGCAGGCATTATTATCTTTCTTAACGGTTATCTCAAAGGCAGTGAGAGAGCAAACTAGTCAGATCGGTGAGCGAGTTAGCGCTGACCTAGATAGGCGTATGGGCCGCCTCTAGGACAGCAGCTCAGTTAAACTCAGGGCCACTCTCTTATCATTTAAGAGATCCAGGCTTGCTGATAAAAGTCTTAAAGCCATACCAAAAGCAAACAAACAAAACCAAATATTAATAACTTTAAAACTCCCAACTTTCCAACTATGGAAGGTTTGAAAGAATATAATTAATGAAATAAACAGTAATGAAATAAACAGTATAAACACCCTTACTCTAAACAGAATATTTGAGATTAAAATATTGACATGTATGTATATTTGAATAAAATAGTAAGAATGCATAAATGTAGGTCTTGAGACAATGATTTAAGAATATACTATGCCAGTGGTGGATATTATCTTAACTTGAATCATACAGTTCACCAAAATACGGCCTATTGTGTTTGAGATCTCCTTCTAAATGCAGTTAAGTATGTTGGATAAATAAAATTTAAAATATAATATTTTATTAAATAACAGCTTTTAAATATATACTCTATAACTCTCTGAAATCTACTTCTGTATTGTGGAAACACTACAAATAGTAGACAAAACCCAGAAAGCTTTTTAAAAAATTAAAATTAATTGGAAACTCCTCATATGCTATGAAACTAACTCATGTATGGTATATGAAGCCTCTCTACGGCGCATTACCCAGTCTTGCTGGATTTGGCCAACTTAGTTCAGTTTTTAATGAGCTCTGTAGGCAATCACACCGCTGCTTGTTTTGCTGCTTTTAGGCGTTAAGAAAGAAAGCAAAGTTAAGTAATAGATAACAGGGAAATTTGCCACAAAAATAAGAAAGGCAAGAAACAAATTCAGTTTGACAATGTGTGGGCTGAGCATATGTTTAAAATTACATACTATTGATTTAAATCAAATTGTCTTGACTAGTGTATTTTTTTAATCTTCTACAAATATTTACTTAGTAGAATCTTATGAAAGCAACAATTTCTTCCAGTGTATTTGCCTCACTTTATGACACAGAGAATATTTCCAAGTTCACATGACAATAAACCCAGCAAAAAAGACACAAATTAGAATGGCCAGTGTATGCACTGGGAAGACCCCATGAAGGCTGTGAAAATATGGGAATATTTGGGGAAATTATTTTAACAAAATTTTTATGAAAGTCTCCTACTGTTAGCAACTGCTTCATAATCTGAAAAGGAGATGAAATCCATCGCTAATGCTGCTGTTTTCACAGGGAGGCCTTTACACGGCTTCCCCGCACAGGAGGATCTCAACAAGGCTGCTGACAAAGACCCTTATTTTCAGAAAATTACAAATGAAAGAAAACATTACTTGTTGAAATATGTGAAATTTACTAACTGAAAACAGCTAGTCACATACTTAGCGATCTATTTCTACATCAAGATTTTAAAGTCATGCTTTTTCGTATATGAATTTTAGACATCAGGGGGACTTTGAAATTAATAATATGATTTTTAAAAGTAATTTGGAATTTTTTACAAAAGTGGTTCTGAGAAATGTAGTGACATGAATGTTAAGAAAACCAGTCCCTCTAAAAGAAATATTATATTTAATTATTAAAAATAGTTGTCACAAAGTCATAAGAGATATAAATTTTTTTGGTATTTTAGCTCTAATTTTTAAAGAGCTTATATTCTTTAAAATAAACAAGAATGAGGAAGCAGCGTCTGAAAGTCTTCAGCCTGAAGGCCTGCAGAACTTCAGCCTTCACCGCTGCCACTGCTCTATAGCAGTTATGAGTCTGAAACCTTTACATGCGAAAAAGAATTTTCTTCTTAAAAAATAAAACTGTCAATTTTTTCCTTCTAGGGAGTTGCAGAAGACTGAGAGGACCACCAGTTGCTTCTCAGATCTTCTCACTGAAGATGTAGTTCTCAGGAGGTTAAATATGAAATAGTACATCGCCAGGAGCAAATTTACACAAGACACACAGGAAGATAAAAATGATGGCTTTATAATACTTTATAATACTCACTCCGGCTAATGTGTGAGGCTGATTTCAAATTTTCATTTATTAAAATAGTAATTTCAGACATGAACTCAATTTTAGAGCAATCTGGTTGAAGGGAGGCAGCAGAGAACTTATTTTAAAGTTGAGGCTGAATCTCTGGACCATCACTCCAAACGCTCTTAGCATCTATGAGTATTTCTATCAAATTTTCAAGAGAGATATCTCTTTGATAAGCTAGAAAAAATGTCAGTTCCTACTAGCTAGGTTTTCTAAACCATGTAGCACCCGGAGTTATGTTTTCACGCAGCAAGTGATCACTTAGCTGTGGACAGGAAGACTCCCACAGAGCACCTGATATCTGTGGAAGACCTGCTCAAGTCCAACACCGAGTTATTCATTTAATAACTCCAGTTAACAAGTTGCTTCATGCATGATAAGAAAGAGTTGACATTACAGAACTTCAAAATCAAGAAGCTTTCCAACTGTTATCTATCCTACAACTTGGTTCATCTGGGTTTTTATTCTCCTCAAATGATCTTTTAATTTTATATTTTGTCTTTCATCCTGCAAAGAAGAAAGACTTTAGCTTATTCCTGATAGATGACTTGACTCCTTTTTTTTTTTTTTTTTTTTTTGTCCTGACATAGTGACACGACTTTCCCTACCGTTAGCCTCAGAAGAGATTCTTTCTGTCCTAGGAGAACACAGCCAAGCCATCCTGATACATACGAACTTGGGCCAGCTTGGCCACCTCACAACTCGCTCCGACAAAACGCGCTGACGGTGGGGCCACTCACCTAAGCAATGGGAGTTAAGAAGAATTTAGAGCTGCAGCCTTCTGATCCCCAGCAGAGGTCCAGGCCCCTTCTTGACCTGCCCGCGTCCCTTATATAAAAGCAGTCCTGGCTACTCCCAGTTTCTGCCTCCTCACCTTAGGCTCCTCCCCGACCCCAAGCCATAAAGCACCGGAGCTACACACCCACCTTCCACCCCCACCACGCGGGCTGCCCACTCCGATGAGCCTGTCCCGGGGCTCACCCCCTCGGTAGACTGTAAGGGGGGCACTGACGGGGAGGGGCTTGGTGACAGTGACCCCAGCTTCCCCACACCTGGGCCAGCTCCGAGGGGAGCCCCCGGGCCAAGCCTCCAGAGTGATCACCCGCACACGTCTCCCCGCTCCAGCGACTCGGGGCTCTCTCTGGGCGGCTGCAGGCGAGCCCCCTCTCTGAAAACTGTCACCAAGGTCGGCACGACGCGGTCCCCGCGGAGTTCTGGACCGTGCCGAGACCGGGTTTTCCTGTCAGGGGCTGGCGGGTGACCGCCACCCAGCTCCGAGCTCGCTCGCGCCCGTCTGCGCACCCTCCCAGGGAGCCTGAGGTAGCTCGGCTGTGACCGTCCGCGCTGGGCCCGTGCCCCGCAGCCCGAGGACAGGCTCCCTGTCAGTCACGCTCGGCCCTCCTCAGCCGAGACCCCTCGCTCCGTCCCTCGGTCCCCAACCCCGCCCAGCTACGCTTGCTCGCCCGCTCGCTCGCTCGCTCGCTCTTCTCCGAGCGTGACTTCGCAGCCCGTGTCCCTCTCAAACCCAGACTCCGTCACCTTGTCGCAGTTGGTGCTGTCAGAGTGTGACTTCTCCTCAGCCGGGTCCCCTCAGTCAAGATTCTGTTACTTTGTCAGGCTCGCGGTCCTGTCAGAGTGTGACTTCCCCACCGTGTCCCCTCTGGTGGAAACCGGGTTAGGCTGTCAGTCACACCGTCCTGTCAGAGTGTGACTTCTCAGCTGGAGTCCCCTCCGCGCAGACCCGGCCACCTTGTCCGTCAGACCCGTCCCCTCAGGCCGAGACCCCCTCACCTTGTCTGTCACCCAGTCCTGTCAGTCCGCGTCCTCTCAGCCGGGAGTCGCCGCCGCCGCCCGCCGTCAGGCTGTCAGTCACACAAGAGTCCTGTCAGAGTGTGGTAACCGCTCCTCAGTCCGGTCACTTTGTCGTCACACTCGGTCCCCTCAGGCCGCGCACGACCCCGTACCCCAGCGCAGCGCCTCGGGTCTCTCCTTCCGCGTCCCTCCGGCCGGCCGCGTGGCCCGGGGCGACTCTGACCTGAGGCGGCGACTTGGCGGGAGCTGAGCGTCCCCGCGGCCGACCCGACCCGAGCGCCCCAGGCGGCTGCCGCTCCGAGTGCGCGGAGCCCCGCCTGGCCGAGCCGAGCCGAGCCGAGCGACCGGGCCGGGCCGGGCCGGGCCGGGGGCGGCGCCCAGCGAGAGGCCGGAGGCCCCGCGCCCACGACCTGGAGGCCGGCGCCCACGGGGCCCTCGTGGCCCTCCAGCCCCGCGCCCGCGCCCACCGCCGCCTACCTGGCCGCCTTGCTCCTCACAGCCGCTGGGAGGCGACCCAGGAAGGTCCGGTGTCCCCCAGACTGATGCCCAGGGCCTGTCCGTGTGCCCTGACCCCCGTCGAAAGGAAGTTTGGTTGTCTCTAGAAGTTCTTTTCAATAACAATATATTATATATAATATAATTAATAATATATAAGTGTATTTAAGATCTCTTGGGTTTTTTAAATCTCAGAACGCTATGAAGGTGAACACCTTCATAAAGTGACCACTTTAGTGTTAATCATTCGGACAGTTTCCTTTTTTAAAAACTGTGGTGTGGGGGGGGGGCACACAAGCTCACACATGAATGGAGAGGCGTTGACTCCTCTGGAGCTGGTGGTTGATGCCTGGAACCGAACACAGGTCCTCTGGACAAACACTAACTGTTCCGAACCACTGAACTTTCTCTCCAGCCCTCTATTTTTTTCTCTATTTCTTAAAACTTGTTCACTGGATTTCTTAAATTCTTTACCAGTATTTCTTGTACTGGCGACCTCACACACAGGATGGGGAGAACTTGGGATTCTCTTGTTTTAAGTTAGAGAGAATGTGGAGGCTCCTTGTCCCAGGAGCCCCATGTGCACGTGGTGGACAGTTCCTTGCCTCTCAGTTCTCTCTGTCATGATCCATCCCAAAGGTGTGGTGTCCAGGACGCCAGAGGCCCTTCCTTTTATCCTCTTCCAATCTTATTGATTGAAAATCTTAGTCTATGTCTGGCTCTCTTTGGGAGGCACTGACTCCTGGGAGTTCATAACTGTGCTTCTTGCTCAGGACATTCCTCCACTCTTAGCATCTTTATTTGTTGGTGGATATGAAATTCTTTATTCTGGTAGAAAAAGCTCTCACCGGTGCTTTCCAGTGAGCGTTTGTGAGGGTGACCCTATGGAGAAAGTTCAGAGCCTGAGTCAACAGATTCATGGCCTCCACTCTAAACTAAAGCCCTAAAACTGTAAGACACAGGTCAGGCCCACGGGACTCTGAAGACCACTGGAGAGATAGTCTTTCTCTGCTAGCTGTGGATGGAAAGACCCCATTCCTATGCCTGTCATGAAGTGGCCAGGTTGATTCTGCTCAGCAGCCTACACCCAGAGGGAAGTATGTACATATGCAGTATGTATGTAGGAAGTATGTGGCCAACTTCTCGCTCACCCAGGAGTTCCAAGCTATTTGTTCTCGTTTGGTTTTGGTTCTGTGTTGATGAAACTTTTGAGGAGGTGTTGCTGTGTAGCCCTGACTGGCCCCGAACTCACTGCTGTTCTCCTGAGGCCTATACCACCCCTTGTGACATTTTAATATATTATTGAGATATGATTTACATAATCTAAAATGCAAATGTCATACATTCAAGATTCACTCACCAAGTTTTGGCTTATTTACAAAATTGCGTCATTATCAGCATAACCTAATTTTAGAACACTTTTACCACCCTACAGAGAAACTTCCTCCTGGGGACGACAGTCATTCTCGTCAGTCCTAGGTTCATTGCCCATCTTCTTTCAGCCTGGGCAGAGCTTCCGATTCTAGACATTTCGCACAAATGGAATCATACGATATGAAGTCCTGTGTGATCGCTTTCTTTCACTTAGCATACTGTTGTCAAGGCCCACCTAGACTGTAGCTTGTATTATTTCCATCCTTTGTCTGTTTATTTGAGACAGTGTCTCTTTATGCAGCCCAGGCTAGCCTTGAACTTGTAATCCTCCTGCCTCCAGCCTTTTGCAGGTTAGAATTAGAGGCATGGCTGACAGCATTTCATTTTCTTTATTATAAACTAATATCCTATTATATGACAGGAAATGTGTGTTTATCTGTCTATTGCTCTAGGCTGTTTCTGCTTTTCTTCTATGTGCATGTGTATGTGCAGTTGCAAGTAGAGACCAGACCTCAACTGCTCTCCACCTTAGCTTTTTATTGTATGTGTATGTATGTGTACCACATGCATGCGTGAGTCTGCAAATGTCAGAAAAGAGCACCTGATTCTCTAGAACTGCAGTTATGGGCAACTGTGAGCTACCATATGGATTCTGGGACTGAGTCTGGGTCCTCTGCAAAAGCAGTAACAGCTGAGCCATCTCTTGAGTCCTTCATCTTGTTTTTTTGAGACAGGGCCTCTCCCTGGACCTGGAGCTCCTTGTTTCAACCATCTGGCAGTAAGACTCTGAAAGCCTCCCTGTCTCTGTCTTCCCAATACAGAATTACTATCTTGTGCACCCCTCCACTTTCCCTTGCCTTTTATGTAGGCTCTGGGGATCAAACTTTCAAAGCAAACACTTATTAACTGATCCATAGCTCCAGCCCTGCTCCTACTACAGGGTGCTATGAACCATGCTGCTATAATCAGTGGTAGACAATGCTGTTTGTGTGTGTTTTCATTTCACTTCATGGATATGGTAACAATATGTTTTGAAGGAATTTAGACATTGCCTGTAGGAATATCTCATAGCATCGTATTTTTCCACCAGCAATGCATGAGGGGCCTGATTTCTCCACATTTTTGTTAGCACTTATTAAAAAGTTTAGCTTATCTAATAGGTAGAAATGGCATCTTACTGCTTTGATTTGCATTTCCTAAATGACTAATCACATTAAACATCTTTTCACATCGTCGCTGGTCATTTGTGTGCCTTCCTAAAGAAAAGGCTATTCAAATACTTTGCTCATTTTAAAATCACTTTGTTTTTGGTTTTGTATGGAACAGCTATTTACATCTTATGCATACAAATCCTTTTTCAGATATATAATTTTCAAATATTTTCTCCCATCTATAAGCTGCCTTGTTGGTTATTCTGTTTGTTTGTTTGTTTGTTTTTAGCCAAGAACTTGCTATGTGGCCCAAGCCAGCCTCCAACTGCAGATTTTCTGCTTCAGCTTCCAGAGATCTCTGCTGTGCACCTCTATGCCTAGCTCTTCCTTTGACATAAAGGTACAAGATTTAAATTTTTTTTATCTATTTTAACTTGAATTTTGTTTCATTTTGGTGTCATATTAAAAGTAAATTCAATGCTATAAATATTATTTGGTTTAATTCTAAGCTAGGTTCTTAAATGTAGATCTGTACTCCATTCTGAGATAGATTTTGTATATGGTGTGATGTTGGGGACAATTAACTCTTAGTGAGGGAAATTCCTATAATTCACCAACAGCCATGAAGGGGAAATTCCACCACAGAGAATTCATAAATGGAGCAAAAGTTTAGAGTTGATCTGAACTTTTTCTAAACAATTTGTCTCCTGGATCAAAACGTCTGTTATTTTCAGTGTCTGTGGCTAGTAAAACCTACAAATACAAGTGAGTCAACAATAGACAAGAAGTAGTCTAAGCGTTCAAACCTGCGGCCTTGCCATTAGTGGCTTGTGAAATCAATTTAGCGGTTTAAAGCCCATACTTTTCAAATCAAATAAAAAGAACAGACTAGAAAACACACTCTCAGAACGCGGATCCCATGTGAAAGAAAGTGTGGCTTTGGCGTTCTTAGATGCATGTGTTTACGTGTACCAGGAGTTGGTATAACATGGATTTTGTAAGCACAGATGACATTTTTAAAAGGTGGGAAAACACTGTATAAACTATACTTTCAGGATTCTCCTGTTCCACAAACATTTATTGAACGTGGATCTCGTGCCAGGTCCTCTACTAAGTTCGGGGGATAAAATGATAAGCAGCACAGTCTCACCACACTGTGTGACAATCAGGGCACGGTCGCCACACTGTGTGGCAGGCAGGACACGGTTGCCATACTATGTGGTAAGCAGTGTGTGGTCTCCACACTGTGTGGTAGGCAGCATGTGGTCACCACACTGTGTGGCAGGCAGGACACAGTTGCCATACTATGTGGTAGACAGCACATGATCACCACACTGTGTGGTAAGCAGCGTGTGGTCGCCACACTGTGTGGTAGGCAGGACACGAACGCCACACTGTGTGGTAGGCAGGACGTGGTTGCCACACTGTGTGGTAAGCAGCATGTGGTTGCCACACTGTGAGTGGTTTTTATGGAGTTTCTAGAGACAAGGACTTGTGCCTGATTCAGTTTCCCCAACCACAAGAATTTCCTCCAAATATTGGTGCTGATTCCCCATAACATTCAAAAAGGTGTCTAGGTTTCTGTTCGTTTGTTTCTTTCTTTTGTTGTTTATTACATATTAACTTTTGTCTACAGGATGGCACTTGTCCCCAGGTCAACACTCGCATACCGTTTGTATGCTGCTGGGAAGGGAGCCCAGTCGAGGAGTGAGCGATGACTGTAAGTGACTTGATTTCCATCACTTCCACTGTATTTTAACTGTGTAGTCCCCAAGAATTTAAAAATAGCATCACATTACTTTTTACAGGGGGGCATTTAAAATAACAAAATTATTTTTCTCTCTTTTCCAAGAGTCCTGTAAAATGGCTTTGGCATTAGTGATGATATTTCACTGTGAGGGGGGCATCTTTCCAGAGAGCATCGCTCTGTTCTTTACAGGTGCTGGACACAACCTTCTCTCTATCCCAGGCAGCCATGATCAATCTCCAGGGAGACTTAGAAGGATCTTCACTCAAAATTAAAGATCAAAACCAGTCCAACATGATCAGCAAGTCACACACACACACACACACACACACTTCCACAGACATGTCTACCATTTGAGTAATTCTCAACACGTTTCCACATGAGATTTTCCCTGCAGCTTCCCAATTTTACTCTGAATTTTATCAGGGTCCTTTTCCTCCTTTATTAATGAATTCTGTTAAAAGCTCTCATGTCCCAAAGGCAAGCTTGGAACTTTTCTTCTGCATTCAGAGTTTTTGATCTTTTTGTCATCTCTGCTTAGCTCAGCATTATATTTTTGTTTTGAGTGGTTATTTATAAATAATTTAAAAAAAAACCTGGAACATTTTAATTGAAGAATCTTTAAGTTCGGCTGGCTTATTTAGCTCTTCAGTAG